CTCTTCTCTCTTGGGGTCCCGGGCCTCTAGGTACAGAAGCCGCGCTGGACGCCGCGTGGGGGCGCGGTCGACCCGCGGCCATGTGGGCTGGGGGCGGAAATGGACTTATCCCAGAACTCCCGGCCTCTACCGGGTGCCGCTTTAGGGCTGTTTCCTGTCCTGCATCCATTACCCGGGCAGGGATTGTCAGGTGGTCGGGACACCTGGGGCAGGTGGGGGACGCCTTGGAATGGGGACCACCACAGCCGTGACATCCTGGCAACCACAGTTCCCGGTGGGTCTTTGGCCCATGCTCGGTAGATTGGGAGCGGAAGCGACCCTGTGGCCTTTTTTTGAGGGGTGGGCTCCCCGAGGGCTACGAGAGACGCTGAAGGTCTAGCTTCACGTCTTTGTGTTTTACTACCACACTTAGACACTTAAGCAACTTTGCGGGTGGAGAGGGGTCTGCGCAATTCATTCTTTTCGTTTGACATACAAATTGTTAATTTAGACAATCATTAGTTAATGGCATGAGTCACTTCTGTCTGTTAACTAAAGTTCCCATTGAGTGAAAAAGACAGTTCTATTGAGTGGGTTATGCTTTAAGGGTATAATCAATTTTAATAAGTTTTATGCAGTGGAGCAAACCCAGCGTTGAATGGGGTCTTGACTGAAGCTTGTGCTGAGGTTTGTTTACTGTAGAGTAAAACTAGTTAGTGTTCCTGCTGCATTTCGACACTCAGAATATTTGGCAGGGAAGAAAGAAGTAGCATAGCTTTTCGTTGCAGTCCAGGTTTATTATGAAGAGGCAGTGGGGTCCACGAGCCTGGTTAGGCCAATTACAGTTCGATCTTGAATTCATCAAGTTAACCTTTCTGACTCCAGCACTGCAACTATACAGAGAGGACGTTGTATTTCACAGGGTTGTTTTGAGATCCAAATAATTCACATTAAAATGCTGGTGAAATGGAAGACATTTTTAAAAAATGGATGCAGTAAAACTTAATAATGCCATTTTAAAGATACAGTGAATAATAGTGAAAACTAATATATAAAAATTATAGACACAAATAGTATAAGTATTTTAAGGTATGACATGTAAAGATTATGTAAAAATAAATAAAATTCTTATGGTTATAAGATTTGTAAATAAACTATCGTAAGAGATCTTATCTATATTATATAGGGCTTATTTTTCCATAGGGTATGATCCTTGACCTTGTTAGTAGCATTTGGAAAAAGTTACACACGGAGAAGTGTTGCTTGATATAAAAATAGCAAGGGCACTATTCAACATGCTAACCCTGGTACATGCTAAACCTTTTGATTCTTTAAAATAATTTAAAAATCTTAATTTGTTGTGACCTATGAGAGACTGACTTGATGGCACCTAACAACAACAAATTGTGGGACCTGGCCATAAAACAAACAAGTCGTTTGCATTTGGACATTGTACACCATCAGAATAGAGTAATATGGTTTACATTGAGTGTTTAAAAAGTAAGGGACATTTTGTAATGCTTTTTGAATGATTCTGTATCGACATTTTTATTCATTTATATTTTAAAAAGGAAATATAAACCATGCTCAGGAAGCATAGGTGACTTTCTTATATGTATATTATTTCATAGAAAGAACATTGAACCATTGGGGCTTGTTGGAAAATGCATTGTGGGAACACATGGTGTCTTCAGTATGGTATTGGAGTTATTCCATGTTATAGATGTTTTTCTGTTGCCACTGCTATACCTGTAGGTGTAGCACTGTAGGATAACTACTGGACTGCTAACTGCAAGGTCGGTGGTTTAAACCCACCAGCCGCTCCTTGGAAACCCTATACTGGGCTGCTTTGAGTTGAAACTGACTGGACAGCACGTAACAACAGCTGAGGCTGTAGACAGGCATATTTGGAGTGGCTCTCACAGAAGTTTCTTTTTGCCTAATTCCTATTACTGCTTCTCAGTTTTGTACATTTCTTAAGTCAAGGGTGGTGGTCTCTTATTTGGATTCATTATTATAGGTTTCCACCTTGCAGACAGCTAGTTGCCATCATGTGGATTACAACTCTTGCTGACCTCATATGTGTAAGAATACAACTGTGCTCCATGGATTTCTGATGACCAGTTTTTTACAAACAGATTGCTAGACCTTTTTCTAAGGTACTTCTGGGTAGCCTGAAACCTCCAACCATTTGGTTAGCAATTGAGTGCATTCAGAAGTTATTTTCCCCAGGATCATCTGATTATAAGGTTCTCTGGTAGCACAGTGAATTAAACATTGGACTGCTAACTGAAAAGTTGGCAGTTCAAACCCATCAGCCTCTTTGCAGAAGAAAGGTTGAGGCTATCTATCTGCTTCTATAAACGTTTACAACCTCACAAACCCTATGGAGCAGTTCTACTCTGTCCTATAGTCATGAGTCAGAATCAGCTTGATAGCAGTGGTTTTTATAGCCTGACTATGCTTATTGCCCTACTCATAACAGATGGGAGTTCTTGCATAATTCTAGCCTGCCTAATCAAAATGTCATGGGCTGGTAAAAGAATCAATTAATCCATTTTGGAAGAAGTGCAGCCAGAGTCCTCCTTGGAGGCCAGGATAGCTAAACTTCGTCTCTCATACTTCGGACATATTGTCAGGAGGGACCAGTCACTGGAGAAGGATATCATATTTGGTAAGGGAGGGTCAGAGAAAAAGAGGAAAGACTCCTCCCCCAAATGAGATGGATTGGCCAAGTGGCAGCATTGATGGACTCAAGCGTGGCAACAGTAGTGAGGTTGGCCCAGGATAGAGCAGTGTTTCATTCTGCTGTGCATAGGGTCGCGATGGGTTGGTACTGACTCGATGGCACCTTAACAACAACAACTGTCACAGTACTTCTTTTAGGTACAGCTTTATTGTCTTGTTCTATCCAGATGCTGTGTTTGCACTCTAAGCAAAAAAATAACAACAAAGATCAGCACTTCAAATCACAAGCTCGGTAGTTCAAACCTACCAGCTGCTCCTTGGAAACTCTATACAGGGTTGCTATGAGTCAGAACTGACTCGATAACACTTAACAACAATCCAGATTGCTTTGTTTGTACTCTAAACAAAAAATCCAGAGGTAAACTCATGCCATCAAGTCGATTCCAACACACAGCGACCCTGTATTGTGTTTCTGGAGCTGTCAATCTTTAATGTAGCAGAAAGCCTCCGCATTCTCCCAAGGAGCAGCTAGTAGATTTGCACTGCTTACCTCATGGTTAACAGTCCAGTGCTTATCATACAGTGCCATGAGGGTTGTCTGTTGTATTGTTAATTGCCGTCAAGTTGGTTCCAACTCGGAGACCTTATATAGGTTTCCAAGGAGTGACTGATGGGTTTGGATCACCAGCCTTGATGTTAGCTGTACAGTGCTTATCTACACTTCACCCAGAATGCCAAATGTCTTCTAAACAAATCCATTCTTTTAGTCCCAGCTTGAGACTTGATCAAGTTCAGTAACATTTCCTAAACCAAATTGCACATTCAGTGCACTGAATAAAACTAGCACTTTTGTCACTTCTCTGAGTACCTTGACAGAGAGTGGTCTTTCTTCCTTCTATGCCTTCTCTGGTCCCCAGACTGGCTATCTGGCCTGCTTGTTTTTAGGAGCAAACTGAGAACAAAACTACAAGAGTCTTTTTCAGAACACCATTATAGAAATAAGTCATTCCCAGACACATTGCACTATCCTTTACACCATTTGTAGCTGTTTTGTTTGTTTCCTTATTTATTATCTATGTTTTAATCAGAAGATGAGCTTCATGAATAAACTGTATTGTCTACTGCACTATTTTCATTTTCTAGTACAACTCTGTGAATTTAGTTGTTGTTAGGTACCATTGAGTCAGTTCCAACTCAGTGACCCTGTGTACAACAGAATCTAAAAATACTTCCTGGTCTTATTCCAGTCTGGCAATTGTTGCTGTGTTTGAGCTCATTGCTGTAGCCACTGTGTCAATCCATGTCATTGAGGGTCTTCTGCATATACAGTTGTTGTTAAGTGCCATCTAGTTGGTTCTGACTGTGCGATCCTGTATAGAGTTTCCAAAGACCAACTGATGGCTTTGAACCATCTACCTTGGAGTTAGCAGTCCAGTGCTTATCCTATAGTGTCACACCAGGATGCACATATTCAGTAGGTGCTCAATAAATACTTATCAATGTAGGCATACCTTAGAGATACTGCTATTTGGTTCAAGACCACTCAGTAAAGTGACTGTTACAATAAGGTGAGTAACAATTTTTTGTTTTGCCAGTGCATATAAAAGTTACGTTTGCACTATATCATTATGTTAGGTGTGTAGTAGCATTTTTAAAAAGCTGGAAATACCTTAATTAATAAGATGCGATATATGAGATAGATGTGAGAACATGTTGGAAAAATGGCACCAAGGCTTATTAGATGCAAGGTTGCCATATACCTTCAATTTATTAAGAAATATGCATATTCAAAGTGCAAAAAAAATGAAGTATACCTTTAGATTGTTGTTGTTAAGTGCCATCGAGTTGGTTCTGACTCAGCAACCCTGTGCAGGACTTCTGGGGAGCAGCTGATTCGTTTGAACTGTCAACCTTGTGGTGTGCAGTCTAGTGCTTATCCTACAGCACCACACCAGGAGCCCTTGTTGTAGATAAATGTATCAAAAAGCAAAAGAGAGAGTTAGACTGTTGCATTTCAATCTGGGCTCCATCATTGATCACCTGTGTGGTTTGTGGCAAAGTACATAACCTTTCTGTACCTCAGTACCATCATTCTAAAG